ATGGCGGCTCCCCGCTTATGCAAATGAAGCCCGGGAAATTCAAATCCCGGGCTTCATTTGCAAGTGCGGTATGCCTACATTACCCTCCTAGTTCGAACTTGGAGGGTGGTGTAGACATACCCTAAGTGACTTGCTCTAGATCACTCAAGAAGTCTGTGACAAAGCCAGCAATAGAACCCGTTACACTTAGAATGGAATTACTTATATGTCTAATTGAGTTTGGGCCCTACGTGTCTATTTTCTTCATTGAGGAAATTGTTGTAATATGAAAAATAAACAGATTCGATTTTTTAAAATATAGTTTAGAAAAAGCCTTATTCACATGCATTAGTTTTCATGTTAAAGTGGGAGGTTCCCCATATGGAAGATTAATATATTAAATGCAAGCAGTTAGATCCAGTTTTGAATGCCTAAGGAAAGCATTCACTATATATATATATTATATTGTAGAGTATTTTTTTTAAATTCTTGAGATTAAAATGTATTTTAAGTATATGCATATTAATTCTTCTTTTTGATTCTAAGGCTTGCTAGTTTAGTATAACAGCCTGGTAGACTAATTTTATATAGATACAGTGCAATTTTCTCACTCACATAAATAAATGTAGCAATGTAGCATTTTGCTAAGCACTTCACTTAAATTTGCCTTAACATTTATAATATATAAACACATGGTTTATTTAATGAAGAAAACAATTTATGTGTGTGCCATAGATATATTTAAGGGTTTTATTCATTTAATATAAACAGAAATGAAAAGAAAATGTTCTTTCACAAATATATACACAGTGACAAAGGTTACTATTGAAGGGATTATAAATGACAGAAGCTAACATAAAAACTTTCTATATCGTACTTTTACTTTAATATGAAGACATTGTTATCAAAGGAAAATACTCAAGAAACGCTTTGATAATAATAATCTCACACTATCTTTGAAGCGGTTTCATTTATTTTACTACCCACTGTGTTCCTTATCAGAAGGCCAAGTATAAGAAGTTTCCTAGTTTATGATTAGGAAAGAATCTGATAGATTAGAAGACTCAATTGAAGTTGGACATAATAAGTATTAAAGTATTACATGACATTAATCCTGCCATTCCATTACTCTCTCAATCACTGTGCACAGACTAATTATTCTGAAGCCAGTGTTCAGGAGAAAATAGAAACATACTTACACTGGGTTGGAGTAATCTCTTTATTGCATCAACAAGGCTAGCTCTGTACTGGTCCAGAAACAGGCTGACATTGAGAAGAGAATCCAGATTAAAATGGGTTTCCAATTCTAACGATACTAATGCAGATAAGGACAAGGCTAATTATATATGTTTACACAATGCTGAAAAAGAGGAACTGAGGTCTAAATTGCCTTCCAATTCATGTACTTTTTAATCGAAAACAAACAAACAAAAAAACAAACATAACTGAAGCTTGCAACAAATGTTATCAAACGCTAAAGCCAAAATATCTGCATGAAAGAGTTCTTTATGTGCCAGGAATTCACTGATCATGTCTGCTAGTTTTTTAATAGCTAGGATATCAGAAATCAGGATCAATATTTGGTAATTCAAGGTTAGCATTTCAATTGCTCTTTTGTATAGATAGATCTCAATACCAAGTAGAGGGTTGGCATGTTTTTAAATTTTCCTCTACGTTGCATTTAGTGTTCTACACTTACAGGTTTTTTCCCTTTTCTTTTAAAATATGTATTTTATTTTATTCATTCATTCATTTGTGCTACAGTAGCTCCGGGTACATCTACACTAGCTCATTAGTTCGAGCTAGGTAGGGCAATTAGGGCAAGCGGAGTTGCAAATGAAGCCCGGGATTTAAATATCCCGGTCTTCATTTGCATGTTCCCGGGCGCTGCCATTTTTAAATCCCCCTTAGTCTGAACTCCATGCCTGCGACAACACGCGGCACGGAGTAGGTAGTTCGAATTAAAGATCCTAATTCGAACTACCGTTACTCCTCGTGGAATTAAAGATCCTAATTCGAACTACCGTTACTCCTCGTGGAATTAAAGATCCTAATTCGAACTACCGTTACTCCTCGTGGAATTAAAGATCCTAATTCGAACTACCGTTACTCCTCGTGGAATTAAAGATCCTAATTCGAACTACCGTTACTCCTCGTGGAATTAAAGATCCTAATTCGAACTACCGTTACTCCTCGTGGAATTAAAGATCCTAATTCGAACTACCGTTACTCCTCGTGGAATGAAGAGTAACTGTAGTTCAAATTAGGATCTTTAATTTGAACTACCTACTCTGTGCCACGTGTAGCCGCGGGCACGGAGTTCGGACTAAGGGGATTTAAAAATGGCGGTGCCCGGGAACATGCCATATTTAAATCCCAGGCTTCATTTGAAACTCCGCTTGTCCTAATTACCCTACCTAGCTCGAACTAACGAGCTAGTGTAGACGTACCCTCCCAGAGGTCAGGGCCCCAATAGTGCTAGGGACTGTTCAAACATAACAGAGAGACAGACAGTGGAGAACTGTCATATTTCAAAACTGGAGTCCTCTCTTTATCCCCAGATGAGGCACAGCAAAGACAGCTGCCTAAAAAGGTGCTGCCAATGTGCTTCAGCATTGTTCTAGAGGGTCTACCCCAAAAGCTGAGAGAGTATTTCATTCTGCTTGCCTATCAATTCCTTAGTGCGTGTGTTGAGATAGCCCACAAGTGCCAATCACCCAAACTAAATATCCATAGGCTATTAGGGATATTAGGGATAGCTGTGTATTAGGGATGAACTGAGACAGCAAATGCAATTCCCATGGTCAAGGAATGGCAATCAGATGGTCATGCTTTTTAGGCATTATTAACTTGGTCTGTATTAATATTGCTGATCTAGACAAGAAAGGCTCCTATCTAAAGACTTGTGTCAGGCAAGTCACAGAAAATACTATTTTTCCTCCCAATTTGAATAATTTTCACTAATTTTTGCAATGTCATTAAATTTCCATCCAGCTCCCTGCAAGAGGAAATGGTTACAATAGACAAGTTGAAAAATTAAACAGGGTGCAGGAAAGATAATAAAAGATGGCACTGTACCCAGACATTATCTATGATCCCATATTCTGTCCACAATCCCAGATTAACTTGATATTTCTTCTAAAATGATCAATAATAGCATAGTTAATAATATTGACATTAAAATCATCATTAAGGTCAAATGCAACACCCACTGCAATGAAGAGGGGCAGTTCATAAAGCTTTCAGAGCCATTGTTTCTGTGTCTGGAGATTCAGGGAGTCCTGAATCAGTTCACATACAAAGAGTTTTCTTCAAAACTCTCAGCAATGAGAACTTAGGCCATAATTTTCACATCTATTATGTACCCACATAAAAGTGGCCAGATTTCTAGAAGTGCCAAGAATTCTGAAAATTAGGTTATGTTAGTACTAGTGCATTTACCCCACACTGCTCAGGTCCTTAAGGAGGGGCTCAGGGTAGGAGGCATAGAGAGTGCAAAAGTCATGGTTGAGAGTAAAGAGGGGCTGTGGACAGCAGATTCCATGTATGTGTGTACGTGTCTATGTGTGTGTGTGTGTGTGCGTAAAAGAAAGGGTGGGGTGGGCGAGGAGGAACCCCTCCCCCCAAAATTCAGACCATGGCTGCTTGCTCTTCCTGAGATCGAGAGCAAAGTGCACAGTTCATCTGCCGCCCTGCCCCCTGGATTCCCCAGCCTTTGCTCTGGGTCTCTCCCTCATTGTGGGATCCAAAGCTTGGGCTCTAGCCTGAGCCAGAATGTCTACACAGTAATTTTACAGGTCCATGAACTTGCATCAACTGAACCAGGCCAGCCACAAGTATTTAATCCCTGTGTAGACAAGACTTGGGTATTAAATACTTTTGAGAACCTGAGCCTTTGTCTCGCTATGTATTATTTGTAAAATATTCATACATTACATGGATGTTGTGAAGATAAATATATTAAAGATTATGAGGTGCCCAAATTCAGTGGTAATGGGGACCATAAAAGTACCTTACATATTTTAGGCCTTCATTTTCCAATATTTTTCCTTTTAAAAAAATAAAATATTGACCTGGGAGAGCAGTGAAATTCAGAACAACTCCTGAGGCTGAGCATCAATTTCCATTACCAAGCCCCATAGCCATTAGTCTTATTCTCAAAGGTTTTACTAGCATTCCATAGCAGAGATGCAGTAAATTAAGAATTCACTATGTGTCTAGACTACTGGGTTTTGTTGACAAAAGTGGACTTTTGTCAACAAAACTATACCTGCGTCTACACTACCGCCGAGTTCTGTCGACATAACATTGACAAAACTCGGCAGTTTTGTCAACAGCGGTAAATCTCATTCTACGAGGAATTACGCCTTTTGTCGACAGAGTTCTGTCGACAGAAGGCATTATTGCATCTACACTGTCCTTTGCGTCCACACTCTCATGTCGACAAAGCAACTTGCTTTGTCGACAGAACTGGATCTAGTCTAGACGCTCTTTGTCGACAGAAGCTTTGTCGACAGAGTCTGTCGACAAAGCCTCTGTTGACAAAAGCCTATAGTCTAGACATACCCTGTTTGGCTGGGGGGATGAAGAGTCTGATCCTGATTCAATAAATGAATGACTACACTGGTCAGACTACACCGGGATTGGGCCTGCAGGACAAGCTCCAGAATTTTACAGAGTTTGTGGGATGCTTCAAACTGCTCTTCAGAGGTAAAAGCTTGTGGATTACTATGAAACCATAAAAACACAGCCAAGAGAAACAAAGCTTTTGAAGCTTCAGCTGTAGCTACATGCGTTTTCTTCACAGGAGTGAGTCCAAAATTGCACCTGTGAACAGTGCAATCATAGGGGATGGAATGAGGGAAACAATTCCCTCTTCCTCACACTTTCCTGTTGGTAGTCATACTGTGTGGCTTTAGGATTGGTACATTTCCTGGTCCCCCAGCTTCTTCCATGTGATTGCATATTGGAGTAGAACAGCTAAGAACTTGTGGCATTTTTAAGTGAGAGCAAGTGATGTGAAAGTGGATTTTATGCTGAAAGCCAAATGTTTAGAAAAGATGTAAAGCCAGCATGTAACGTGTATGTATCGATCTTTAATAATTAAAAATCTCACATATAGCTTGAAGAAAGAACTTGTAAAAGAACCTATTAACTGCAAGCCTTCAGGATCCTCTCATTATTCCTAAATATGACACCACCTACCCCAGATTCTGCATAATAACCACTGCTTCTCCTGCTGCAATGAGCTCATGAAGCATTGGCCGTTGAAGAATTTTGGACCTTATAGATCTTGACTGGAAAAACATTTTTCTTATACCATCCTTCTGAAATTCCTGCTTCAGGTAGTCAGGTGTTGGCTAGAATTTTTTTTGGTGAATTGTTTATAATTTGCAAAAGCTACAATGGCTACCTTTCAGTCTCAATTACCTTTATTAGAATACTTGAACAAACATTCATTTAAGTAAGTCATTGAAGCTGCTGAGAACATCACTACTAATGCTGATACTTTTAATCACATTCAGATCCAGTAGGACACTAGGATAGACAGCTCTGCATGCCCATTTAACAGGAATTTTTTTATGATAGGATAAAAAAAAGTGGCATATAGGTGTATAAACCCCCATCCAGAAACCTTTCTCCATTTTTTCCAGCCTTCCATATGTTTGAAGACTTTATAAGACTTTCTGAGAACTTTGACAAGAGAAGCACATTAGGGAAAACACATCTGTTTTTTTCATTTATTATTGTATTTTGTTTTTATTTTTTAAAAGTAATAAGTGAAAGCATGATTTTTTGCCAGCTTTGCCTGAAGTTAAATTCTTTTTGCTTAGCACTGCTTCCTACTGTTTTTTAATGACACAGATCTTAGTCCTAGTTTACAGGTAATAATGGATTCCTTAAGTGCAAACTGCTGAATAACCTAGCTGCGCAACCTGCTGGGGCAAAGATGGGAGGAGTGGGTACCTCTGTCCTCTTCTCTGATTGCTTGGATAGGGGTTCGAAGCTTAGCTATAATGGATCTTTTCTTGGCAAAGTCAGGTCAGATGGAATATCTACAATACTTCTAGCCCCTCGACAGTAGAGCAGACTTTGAATATTTCAAACTCTGAGGGAGCAATTGGAGAATCTGTTCCATGGTTGTGGATTGGCACGGATTTGGACCATACATGGGAATTTAGTCACACAACTTCTATATTAATACCAACAAGATTTGTGTGGCTAACTGCCAGAATCACATGCTGAAACTGTAGCCCTAAAAAGAATCTTCCATGTTCAGCATTTCTCAGAGGAGCTAAGTGATACGTTGGTCTATTGAACTTGTCTTTAATTTTTGGACACCAGAATTCAAATGTGGCTTAGCTGATCGCTGATTTAGTAGTCTTCTTAACCAAGCTCATAATGGATTTATATCCACATAACAAAATGCCTCTGATTTCTATAATAGTAAAGAAGCAGGGTTTACTGGTGGCTCTTAGCCAGTGTGGATATTTATTATATCTGTGTGAAATTATAGGCCAACATGTCAGCTACATCCTTTCTTTTGATTTTTTAAACAGTGTTTTATATTTTCCTTTTAAGAAAACCTACCATTAAAACAGAACAAACAAACAAAGATACTTACATAAAAACTGTGTGGAAGTAGTGGCAAGCTACAGCAAAGGAAAAACAGTAAGGAATTCCCAGCTAGGTTAAGGCTGATATACTTTATCCTACCTTCTTGGGTCTTAGCATTACTAGTGCCTCTGAACAGTTGGCATATGTTTATATTTTGTAGGCTATCAGGTCAACTCTCTTCTTTTTGCATGAACAGCAAAAGTTAAGTACATGGGGATAGTTTAAAGATAGTATTTTAGACATAGTACTTCAGACATGATTTACACTCATTTGCAGCACCTAATGTATGTAGCCATTTATCTTTTTGCACTGCTTCAACTGTCATACTCTGAAAAACCTTTATAAGGTAAAAAAAAAATTATTTCCATGTATTCAGATTTCACTGTAATCAAAATGCATGCACAAAGGTAAGCTTAAAATGAACAAAGACATATTAATCTAAACTCAAGAACAGAGATCTAATTGCTTTCTGATAGAAACAAATTTTTATATTAAATACTGTCTAGGACATACCAATGTCATAGAGTCAATCTGTAACTGGAGCTCAGTCCTGCATTCCCAGAGAATCACAATCCCCAATGACTTCAGGGAGAATTTTGGTAGTGAAATCAATGTGGATTTGGACTCTGAGGCTTCGATCATGCAAATACTTATGCATGTGTCTATACATGGGTATAGTCTCACCCACTTCAATGGGACTACCCATTTACTCAAGTATTTGCAGCCTTAGTCTGAGCCTATAGTTCAATCATAACTGCTTACAATAGGAAATCAAAAGACCAACAATTTTTCCCTTGACCCCAATTTAAACCTCACCCTTCCCACGTTTCTCTGAGACATTTAGTTTAAAAGAATAACATCATATTCTTTTTTTCTTAATCAGGAAAAATAATATATCCTCTATTTTAATAAATCCAGAAAACTGGGGTACTCAAGAACCTAAAGAGAATCTTTTTTTGTGTCCCGAACTGAGCAGACCTGTCTGTTTCTCTCTCCTCTATTATATTCAGCCTCACTTTTACAATTCCGGTGCCTTCATTTACTTATTACAACTGAAAGTCCTATGGGCCTGAAAAATCCCCTCCCCATGAGGACCTGAGGCTAGGGGCATAAGGGTAAAATACTCCAGGATTCTGTTTTTTTTCCCAAGAGTATCTTTATCACTGATATGGTTTCTCCAATATTTCCCCCCTTATTTTTATCTGTAAGGTGACATTTTACAAGTTATTTAGGAAGTGCTGAACCATGAAACTAATTCATTGCAAATCCTAACTAGCTTTCCCAGGTTGCCTCTTATTTATTTTATAATCTAGTTGAGCTGCTAAATTTAGCTGTGAACTAACAGACTGTCTGTTCGAGGAAATAACTTATTTTCCACCGCTGCACACAAGGGTTATGAATGTTTGAATGTAAATATAGGAATATATGAATGATATAAACAAATTGTTGATTGTTGTAATCATGTATATTTTTACTTAAACCTCAGTGTGGGCTTGGAATGAATAAAGCTTGTTTTCATGTAAATGGGATCAAGCAGTACCACTGGTAAGCTATTCAGGGAACCAGACAATACCACCCTTGCTAGAAATACTGCAGTAAGACTTTATCCACATACCTAATATTTGAACTCAGATTTCTGCTTTATATTTCTGTTCTAATCCCAGATCTTACCGACTGACAATGACCCATGTGACAGGTCTAAATGCAATCTATTCTATCCATTTTTATTACTGCATACTTTAGATTTCACCTGAAGAACTGTATGGAAAGTGAATTCTTTTCCCCTGGAACAGCAGCTCCTAAACTCAGAAAACTAAAACACCTCAAGCAGTTCTGAGGTGATTCTATACTTCGGGAGAGAAAAACATGAAAATAAAAAGAAGATGCTATTGTGATAAATGTATTCTGCATTTTTTTTTAAACTAACCCTGACAGCATATCTGGCAATAAACTATTGGTTTCTGTTACTAAATCAATTATTTTTAAAAAGTGAGACTCATTACAGTGATTTCATGCTTGTTAAGGAATAGATGTAAATCTGCATTTTGGCACCAGGAGCTCTAAATATAAGGTAATTTGTGTATAAAAATTGAGTTTTAAATAAACCCCCATGTAGCTATTTATTAAAAATCTATAAATATTTATGCACTTACCTATTTTTAAATGCTTCAAAATCAATGTACAAAACCCAGTGATTGAAAATGCCTTAGGTATTTTACCTGTTATGTATGATCCTTTGTTTCCTAATGAAAGTACACTATTTCCAAACAGGCTGGGTGGAGTATTAGGCAGGAATATTAATGAAAAAAAGACTTAAGTCTGGCTCTCCCTGCTATTCTCTCCAGTACAAATAGGATGACATGGTGTGAGTATCAAGAATACAAGAGATGGCACAGCCAGGTTGTTTTGATATTTGTGTGAAGAACAAATTTAACTCTAAATCTCTTGGCAAGACCTTGCTTCACCCACTTAATCTGGAGAACATCCATATGTGAGCCTTGTCTAAGCCTCCGAGAAGACTACTGCCCTCCTGCTCATGTCCGCCAGCACTCTGATCTGACTTTCATACTTAATCTGATCTAATCCTGCCCAGCATTAACTTCATCTGTGCAATGAAACCTGGAGTATCCATTCTAATATTTGGTGAGGAAGGCATTTACTAAATTACTTGCTGAAATCATATGGTGTTGTTTAGCTCCTTATTTTAATCAGATGATGCATCTCAGAGACACATTATCGGCGATTAGTTAGAAACCCATCTCTGTCCTTTTTGGGAATAACTTTTATTAAATTAAATGTTAAGGGAAAAAAGCACTGTTGCAAGCCAAGAAGTAGGAAATAAAAATAAATATTTTTTACCTCTTATTAAAGAAAATCATTTTTAAATTAAAAAACAACAACAACAACAACAACCCCCCATCACCATTACCACAAAACACAGTGAAAATGTTTCTGGAAAGCCAATTTAAAAAATGCATTGTTTACTTAGACAACAGGCGGTTTCTCCCAACCCTCCACCACTTTTTCTTTTAACCATTCCTTCATAAAAGTCAAATCTGCTGAATTCAACAATCCTGTGAAGTCATTATGTTCAGAATTTGGACTCTTACAATGTCTCAGAATAGAAATATTTTTATTCTGTTCTGGCTCCCTAAAGAATCAAAACCAAACATGAATTATGTAAGAAAAGACATATTGGGAAAATATTTTCTTCTTTTCTTAAGTGAAATTTGCACCTAAAATGTCTAGCTTTCTTTATTTATAATTAAGAATGCACTTTTTTGAAAGTGGTAATGCAGTCACTGAAAGGACAGGATGAATCCACACTGTCAATATCAAAAATTGGTCTGTGTTCCCAGCCAAATCTATCGATGTATTTAAATAGAATATATATTAGCTTTTATCATGAAACAGCTCACTCACAAAGTAAGTATTGTGCTCCTAATTTTTACTAAGCATTCTCTGATTATTAACAATGTTTACCTGTGTAATAATGTGACCATCATTTTTAGTGTAGGCTTATCAATACTGTTGTTGAATTGACTTAAGAAACAGAATGATGCAGAAAAGATTTTGAAAATCTTTTTCCTTTGCGAAGATTTTCTGGGGAGCAAAATATACATCCCCTTATATCAATAGTCAGATCTTTCCTAAGAAGTAAGCTAATTGAGCTGTTTGTGTTGATAAACTCCCTTTTCTCCAGACTGTTCCTCACTGAGCCATAATTATTTGCAATTTGCCTAAGTCGTCCATTTACTGATACGTCAAGCATGAAACAGAGGCAATTCCAGAAAATGGAAATGCTTCTCAAAATCAATCTTTGGGAAATAATGCGGTAGAAGTTACTGTGTGATAGAAGACTACCTTATAACTGTCATATGGAGATGAATATTAATTTGTTGAGGTTAAGGTGGCTTTGTGCTTCATTTGTTGACTTTGCTTAGCCATCAGCAAGCAGCACAGCACAATTACTCTAGCAAAGCTAGTTTTTAACATGAGTTTTATGATTTTTATGTACTTACCAGTCAGCACACATAACAATGTCAAAATGTCCTTCCAGTTGAGAGACATCTGTCTCATTATCCCATCGCAAAATGCTAGAGGAAAAAAAAATAGATTAAAAAAATTAGACCTACATTTTTCATCTGTGGATTTTTAAAGCATTAACATTATTGTTATGTGGTATATAAAATAGCTTTTAAAAGTATATACATATCATTTTAAAAGGAAGACAAAAATACTGAAACATACTTGACTATTCTGTATCTTCTTCAGTTTTTAAATCTTGAAGGTAAAGAAAAATATTTTTACGGTTTATACAGCTTCTCATTACTGGGTCAACAAGAAAAATATATTCTGAACCAGAGCCACTGGAAAGGCTCTGGATATTCTGGCCCTTAACACCTGTGTATCATATAGTGAAATTAAAGCACTGTTGATCTGACTGCAGTACACATTTGCAAAATAAATGTAGCAAATTCAAGGATCTCTGTTGTGTCTGGCAGGCAAGTCTCATTGATGAAGTGAGCATTCTCCTGGGCTTGAGGGGGAAAAAGGGGGGAAGAATGCCAAGCTTAACTTCAATGCCAGCTATGTTGCCTTACACAAGCTTAAAAACACACTAATACTGAGTCCATCAACACCTATTCTCTCATAGGTGATAAGTTATTTAATTCTAAGACATTAAATAATAGCCAATAACACATATGTTCAAAGTTCTGTTTTATTTAGGAAGGTATTGTGTGGCTATCCTTAAGAATTTCAGCACTTTGCTCCCAATTAAAATCTGTAATTAGCACTGGAATTTGTGAAACATTTTTAACAACATTACCCCTGTGCAAAGATTCAAATCTGTGTCTCTGTCTCTTGCTTAAAAAAAGAGAGAGAAAGAATCTTTTATCCCTTTTTTAATTTTCTGGATATTCAGAAAGACATGAGTTAAATATTTATAAGGAAAACAAGTAGTGAGAGGGGAACCCGAGGGGGGCAGGCAGGGTCTATGTTAATTATGTCAGGTTGTGTATGCTTATCTCTGTTTTATGGGTCTTGATGAAACAGACCCTTCAGTAGTCCAGCAGTCCTATTGTACTTCTGGTCAAAAGCCATCTCCATTCCCACTCTACTATTGATATTTAACTAAAGATCAGTTATAATATGTTCAGTGAAAAATAGTCCCCGTAGACATAAGAAATAGGGGATACACTGCCTATGCCATGCAAAAGAGGAAGCCTGCAAAACAAAGAATTGTGGTACTACAAGCTAAGCACATACAAATATTCCTACAATTAGGAAAGGGAAAATGGGACACTGCACAGGGCTAGCCTGAGCCGCCCTCCCCTCCGTATGTTTGGACTCTTCTGGCCAAAATGGGTTATCTGGCTACAATACAAAGAATTATAATGTAAGCACACACATGTACCCACACACAAATGATAGTGAGATATAAAACTTCATAACATGGAAATAATGAAAGGAGAAATCTGATTGGCCGCAAAAGCTTCTGCCTAGGTGGTATTAGTGTAACTGAACAGATCAGAATTCATTAGCCCTTTTATTCTCCTGGAACTTATTGTGCCAACCAAAAGGGGGAAAAGAGATTAATTTAATTATTTTCCCCCTCAAATTGAATATAGTACAGATTTTACAAACCTAGATAGCTTTGCAAACTGGCACTTTGAGTGCTCAGCAGACAACCAGTAGTGGAAAGTGACAAAGGAGAGTTCTCACTCTCAGTTGCTGGCTGCCTGCTGGCTACCAGCGGCTTTTTCAACCCTGTTTCCGTGGAAACTTAGGTTAGAGTAGAAAAAAATAAGGTAAAGGTAAGTTTTGTGGGTTCTCACGTTAATTTTAAGACTCCTGAAACAGAACAGGAAATTGCTAGATGAATGTTGAATCATAAAGCCCATATATAGTTCTAATTGCCACAGAAAGAGAGATCACATCAGAGCAAATAAGGCTGTGGATTAAAAAAAAAACACACACTTTCTGTGTGCCTTACACAAACTGTGCTGAAGAAGGCAAAGGTGCCTCTTCCACAGAGAATGGCTGTCCCATATTACTGCCTGTTGAGCTCTCAGAATGCAAAAGTCTAATCTAGACCTAAAGTCAGAAAAAATGTAGTGACAAATTATTACAGGTTAGCACCTACAAAATTTGCACACCCATCTACTGTAAGCCCAAACAGGTATTTGCATTGTTAATGGGAAGCTCAGAAAACAGAATATTGAACAAATAGTTATCTGGAGAAGTTCCCACTGGCATGAGCAAACAAGGTATTTACATGCTCAAGATCTCCAAGTTCATTTTAGATACCAACTTTCTAATGGGCAAGGGAACATCCTTATTAATGATTCTTCACCCCACTGCCAGAACTGAGGGAAATGGAGGCTGGCTAAAGGAAGGAGCCACTGTTTCTGCACTTAGGAAACAGAAGTGACAAGGAAAGTGTCATAGGGGTAGCAATTAGAAATTTGAATACACCAGATTATACACATTACCCCCTGCAGTACTGTTCTTTCAAAGATCAGACAGCCTCAGTCATTTCTCCACTCTCTTGGAAGTAGCCATATTGGATGACTAGAGAGCACAGGAAAAATGAGTTCCCAGGAGAGTTTCTGAAACTTTAAAATGTTTGCTTAGTTTTTACTGGAATAATAAAGTGTAAGTTTTGGAAGTTACAAAAAGCTCTATTGAACCTTGTGCAGGGAAACTGCAAGATGGCACTATGTTTGCCGAGGAGGTTCTTTTTGAGTAAGCCATATCCAAATAGACTTTTTCACTAAAAATAAAACTTTTGCAGCTCAAGGCAGTATAAAGGAAATACTTTTAAATGTCATGAATGCAGGTGATTACAACTAGAAAACATTTACAAAATTCAGGTTTAGATTCTTGCAATGAAAAGAAATCAATAAACCTTTAGTGAAAACACATCTGAACTCCATTTTAAGAAGTGGAGTGGATTTTTCTGTTTTGTTTTGATTTTGTTTAGGTTACTATATAACAAAAATATTTAAACGGTTTTTCTCTTTAAAAAAAGGGGCATAAGGCTGAAATGATTTGGGTTGCTTAGTTCATATTGAGACCAAGCTGATGATAGCTCTTACTATCTGATGGCTCCTCTGTGCTCTATACCAAATGAGCCTGACCAGTTCCTAGATCAAAAGTCATTAGTGTAATTATCAATCTTGATGGCAGTCTCAGCAAAGAGGACAAGGACTGAATGGCTGCATCTAGACTGGCATGATTTTGCGGAAATACTTTTAACGGAAATTTTTTTCTGTTAAAAGTATTTCCGCAAAAGAGCGTCTAGATTGGCACGGATGCTTTTGCGCAAAAAGTGCTTTTGCGCAAAAGCATCCGTGCCCAGTATAGATGCACTTTTGCAAAAGAAAGCTCTGATGGCCATTTTAGCCATCAAGCTTTCTTGCACAAAAAATTAAGGTGCCTGACTACACTGGCCCTCTTGCGCAAGTATTCTTACGCAAGTGGGCTTATCCCTGAGCGGGAGCATCAAAGCTTTTGCGCAAGAAGCACTGAATTCTTACATTAGAACATCAGTGCTCTTGCACAAATTCAAGCGGCCAGTGTAGACAGATGGCAAGTTTTTGCGCAAAAGCGGCTGCCATTTCAAAAAAGGCAAATCAAAGATGGTAAATGCTACCAGGACAGTTACAGTAGACGGTCTTCTCCACATAGTTGTCATTTCTTGGAGAATAAGCTACAAATATCAATGCTATTTCCCCAACAACTGCACAGCACTACTAGTCGTACCTAATAAAGTGATATATTTTGAGTGTGTTTGAGTTAGTTCTTTTCTATGGCTCAGTGGTTGTCTTCTTAATATGTCCACACAGATAATTTTCACTGATAGAAGTTAAGTACACTCATCACCTCCAAGTTCCCCTGAGCAGTCCTTGCAAAGGCTGACACAGGTTGTAGTAGACATAAAGTTAGTGATGTAGTAGGCACACAGAGAAAGTAAGAGCACAAAATCAGCCAGAAACACCATTGGCACAACAGATGCAAATGATGTGGCAGACTTGCTTAAAATAAACAAGCTTGTTTCATGTGGCATCTGAGCAACAACCTTTGATATTCCACTCTCCCCGCTTTCTTTATTAAGTTAATTTGGGTTGTAGTTTATGAAAACTATTAACATTGTTGCACGCAAATATGTGTAAAAGAATGTGTAAGGCTGCGTGCATGACTCGTGCGAATGCAAACAAGCATGTTCCTACTCATTAACACATTATCATGAGGGATGGATAGTTTGTTTCCTTTCAGTGATCAGTCCACACTCCTCAGTTCTATTTAAATAAAAGTACGAGGCTGGACAGCAAATTGCACTTCCCCTTTTAAAAGTTTTTATTTGTAAACTGGAGGACACAGTTGCTTGTCTCCTTCATTCCTGTGGTGCTGAGTAAAATTCTTTAGCACTATATTTTCAAAATGATATAGGCAAGTTATTTTGTCTGGGCATACTGAGTGATATTCAGCCTTCTGCAGAGTACTAGCAGAAGGCCAATGATGACTGAAATCCCACTTAGGCCCTATTTGGGGAATTAAAAAGTGCTTCCGTCTTGTACTTGTTCTCTACATGGGGTGAATTTCATCCCCGATGAATACTGTGCCTGAGAAAATAATTAATTCTCAACTCTCCCACCCCCCAAAAATTAATGAGGCTGCCTTCTTCCAGTATGCACTTTTGTCTTCGTTTTGATGTAATTTGCTGTGACTGTACGCACGGTGGCAACAGATTATAATAAAGAAACACTGGAAAACATCAGAACTTTAGCAGGAGCTGGCTGGGGCTGAGACTACCTGTACAACATAATCAAATAAAGTTGATATTCAGAGGAGAAATGCAGTTAAATTAAGCCATTGCTACAATTTTTAGAGCCAAATTTTCCAGAGTGTCTGTGTTCATAAAATTTGTGCACATATCAGCTGCATATCAAAATGCACATCTTTTAAATAAGAGGCCATTTGGAAAATAAATATCTCATTTGTAATATACAATTCTCCATTTTGCACTTACAAATGTTCCACACTTGACGTGCATTTCATTACAAATAAAACAATAATGCAAATCTTAGAT